CAATTCTTATGTTGACAGCTGATCTTCTGATCACAACTTGGTATTTCTGGTGACCTGCCCTCACTCTGAAACTATCCACAAGCCTTCCAAGATTTCCCTCATCACAAGAAAAGGCACTCTCAGCACCCATATGTCTGAGAAAATTCCAGAATCTTTAGATATCCTTATCTAAAATCCAAGAAAGAAGTCCAAACATATTTTTATGGCATCACATGAGGCAACTGATGCTTAGTGAGGTGGGGTCACTCACCCAGAGTCACACAGCCTGCATGTGGGCTCACAAATGTCATGCATTATCTGTGGGCACTTGGCATATATCCTTCATGTTTTTTGGTTTCTTGTTATATCAGGGGGACTAAAAGTTAAACACTACCTTTCTTCTACTCCTAGTGATTGAGACCCAGATGTGAATTAAATGCAGTTTCTGAGGTTCACTGGTTCATAATTTAAAGCTGAAAGGGAGATAGAACCATTATTTCTGCTGCTGTGTTTACTGATGGGTGGGCTGTAGCAGACACAGCTTTACGTGAGGAAGTAGGAGTTTCTGTCCTTTTGGGTGGGGCTGTGGCCCTTTGACCTTGAAACCAGACATCCAGGGTAAACTGTCTACCTTCCATTTCCCTACATTTTCATTGGTTTTATAATTACTAATTGTTTGCATTATAGAGTTTTCTGCAGACATCTTCATGGCTGGTTTACTTGTAGTAGTCCCAAAGTGGAAACAACACAAATGTCCAGAAAGTGGTGAATCATTAAACAAAATTAATGCAGTCCTGGAATGAAATATAATTAGAGTATAAAAAGAAGGAGCTATGTGAAAACAATTGTATTCAGTGAAGAAGCCAATCTCAGCTGAAAGTTATATATTTTATGATAAAAACTGAAAGTTCCAGAAAATGTAAAGGAATTTATGGTGGAAAAAAGCCACTGACACTTTCCTTAACACTAAAAAGGAGGTGTAGAGGTGAAGAAAAAAGAGATTACCACAGGCCATGAGAAGACTTTAAAAGTATGGGACATGGTCTCTATTTTCTTGGTACAAGTTGTCTGGTGCATGGATCTGGGAAAACATCATAAATTGTACACTTTCAATTATACAATTGTTATGTTAATCTGATTACATTTAACTATAATCCAATAAATATACATAAAATGATGTATGAAATATTATCCTAAGTATATGTTGAACAGAAATTAATAAACTAAAAGAAAAATACTTAATTATAACATGACATTTTCTTGCTCAATATTCTGCTTGTCCATCAGGATGTGGCAGAATTACCCTGCAGGCTAGAGTCTTTGTTGGACACTGCTGACCCCATTCAGCACAACCCGCAGCCCAGCCAAGCCCAATCATTACCAGCATCAATCATTACAGTCTTTCTAGATCTCCACGCTCTGCACTGTGGGAAGCATCTGCTCCTCCATCCAACCAACAATCAAACAATCTCTTGCCAGTCCTCCCTAGGCAGGGTTTTCTTGATGCCCTCTATTCATCAAGGGGAAAATGGCCACTAAGTCTACAGGTTGTAGCCAAGAAATTACTTTTTGAAAAGTGCTCTCTGTGATCTCCAGACCAGCTGAGACTCAAGTACATGCTGTGTATGCACCCAAAGTTCTCCTCCACAGCCCTTCACTGGATTATAAGTAACTCTCTAGACCCACAATTTATCTGAGACCCTGTCTCTGTTACAACAAACACAATAAGCACAGGGCCCACATATGTCTTATTCTCTTTGGAGCTTCCAGGGCCCAGCCAAGAGCCTGACATGTCACAGATGCTCCATAAACACTCACTAAATCAATAAAGTAAATCACACAATGCAAGACTACCGCCCATTGATGCAGGTGACACTTGCAGTCAAATGATGTTTCTTACAGACACACAGGCATTGGTGTCAGCATGAGAGGAGGCCTCTGAATGCTTGGGGACACCACAGAGTCAGCTTTTGTCTCATACAGTCATGAGGAAGAAAAGGAATCTCCTAACAGTAAGAGGTTTGACTGCTCTTTATTCCCCCTAAAATCACATCCCTACATAGTCCCACCTTGTGAGTTATGTGTCATCACCACAGGCCTGTATTCTTTAAGTTCTCACAGATCCATGACTGGACAGAAACTCTGGCTCCTCAACCCCTGGAAGAGTTACTGCCAGGGGAGGAGAGAGCATGCTCTGACCTGACAACAATAAAAACTGACTTTTCATTTACAAGGCTCAGGGTGTGTGGGACACCTGTTTGTTCTTTCTGAAGACATCTCTCTAGGTCATGATTCCCTGGGGAGCAAGGGAAACTTCTTGTGCAGTAAGAGGAGAACCCCAAAACTCTGGTTGCTTCCATCTCAGAGGGGCTAAGATTTCTATGAGAAACATTCTTCCCCCAACAGAACACACAGGGTCAGTGGTTGAGTCTTCATCTGGAGATGCTTCAGCTTTTGAGCCTTGTGGGCAGGAAGGGACATAGACATGACTTATATTCACTATCCCAATGTGGTGAGGGTGGACACACAGGGCATTTTGGGGATCAGCCTTCCAGGTCAGCACCCTCCACCAAAAGCATCAGAAGAATGGCCTCTTCACCAGGCCCTTCTTTTGAACACTTGAAAGCAGAGAGATCTGTCAAAAATAGTACATCCCCCTGGTGGGATAGTTTTCCTGACACTGCACGCATAATATTTGGGTCAATGCCTTCCTTCTCATCCAGCTCACCCTACACTTCACAACCTGTCTGTGAAGCACCTGACATTGTCTACAAGTCTTCCTCTGTCCTCTAGGTAGCAATATTGAGACACATGAAATAGACACAAGAACCTGGGTTTGGCTAAACGGAGAAGTAGCCTGATTTCATCCCTTGCTTCAACAGGCTCTTCTTGGGCCTTTCCTCTTTCCTGCTCTGTCCTTCCTGCTACTTCTAGAGGCAGTTAACAAACAGGGGCTGTACAGTAGCCTTGACAAACTGAGGGGGCCTCATGGAAGGCCTGAGCAGCCTCACAGGATATTTTGATCAGAAATTTCTAATTTGGCAGGTGATGGCAGGTTGCCACATCACAAGCCGCCATTTTCCTTATCAAAAGTCAGTCTTTACCTTCAGTGAGCCTTGACTTCTTTTTCTTTTTCTTTCCTTCTTGGATAGCATAACTTTGACACATCTGAGGGATTTTCTTCACTGGACCATTCAATAGCACAGAGTCTGGGACAAGTCTTCGAGACCACAGATTCTTTGTGTTGTCAAGACCCCTGCACACCTTTCCTGTGCCCTCTAAATGTGAATTAGGATATCATGTAAATTGGCATAAATGTGAATTACATTTATGTAATAAATCAACATAAAAATATATTTCTCCATTTTGCCTTCTACCCAATTCTAGAGATTTCCCTGCTATGTTTTCTCTCACCTCTGAATAGGTTTTATGTATCCTTATTCACCTTCTCCTTTGTTCAAAATGTATAAAATAAGCTATAAAACTGCATTCACAGGATTTGAGACCTCACTTCCAGACATATGAGGTCAGTTTGGCTTGGATAAACTCATTAAATTGATCAATAAATTTGGATTTTTTTTTTATTTTGAGAGGGCCTTGGATCACCTAGTCCCTCATGGGGTTCTGTGCTGCTCTGTACCTCAAGAATGGCATCATCCATGGCAAGGGAAGGTGATCACAAGGAAGCCACCAAAGCAGAAACAGAGGTCTTCCCAAGAGCCAGGCATCACAAGGACAAATCCAAGAAACAGACATAGAGATGAGTGGTCTACATGAAGCTGTCCCCTGAAAAACAGAAAGCTCGTAGCCACCCAATATTTTCCAGACTTCTTTTCTCTTCCTGGCACATGCAGGACACATCCCACTTCACACCTGCAGAACTGCAGGTCCTACTGAGAATCCTGGTTTTACGTGTCTGTCCCGGGAAGCAAAAGCCAGTCTGCTGACAAGTTGAGATAAAAGAAGTGTCCCCTCTGCAATTATCACCAAGTTTGACACCTGCTCACCCCCAGAGTCATGTCTGTAAACTTCCCACTGGCAGGTAAAAACACCTCAGAGCACCAGAAATTATGTAGAGGATCCAGTGCCCAGCTGGGTTTCTGTGTCACAAACAGAAATAATCCAGGCTTTTACCATACCTGTGGCTCTCTGAGTGGTGTTGACATTCCCAAGACCAAGTCTAAGCAGTGGAAAATGTTGGCCTTAGTGTGTCATTCTCTTAGGGACACATGTGCCCGCATCAGAATTGCTATTGCAAGTGTACCCTACAGGCCAGATGGATCAACCTCTCCTGACAGCTTGTCAAATGCACAGTCTCTGACTCATTGCACCTGAGAATCTGTAGTACACCAGGATCTGGAGACTTCCCTTGTGCACAGGAGAACAGGAGAATTAGTTCTACCTCCATATAAAGCCATCACAATTTGAATGGACACCCACATTACCTAGAGATCTGCTGAAGCTTCATTACTAGGATTTCACCTACAATAAGAGATGTTGAAAAAGTTTCACAGGGGATCTGATGCACAAGAGGGGTGACATCACTTTGGCAGCTTTTTCAGAGTCAGCTCTAGAACTCCTGCTCTGAAGGCAAAAGTCCAATGTGAAACAGAGAGGGCTGTAGGAGAGGCTACTGTACACGTGACAGGGAGCTGTGGGAAATGCCTGAAACCCAGACACCCCAGGCTTTTCATAATACAACATGGGAGTCTGTGTTTTTGTATGTGTGGTATTGGGAGGCCTTAAAATCTGTCAGGGAACAAAGGTATACAGGAGTATTACTGGTTACAAGGTACAAGGGTAGCAAAAAATGAGGGTTGGGAGAGAGAGAGTAATGTGCACAGACCCCGCCCCCCGCCCCTAGCCCACATGACAAGAATAGTAAACATGCCCTAGAATAAAGCTCAGCACACAGGTAAGACACACAGCAAGTAGCACCATTCTGGACAGAGGTGTCTGTGAGCCTTACAGAACCCGAAGCTTCTCTCAAAGAGACACCCGCAGAAGAGACAGCATACAACATGGGGTCCTCTTCAATGTCTACCCACAGAAGACTTGTCCACTGGCAAGGGCTCCTGCTGGTTGGTAAGTAGAACACAGTTCCTTGGGTAGACTAAGGATCTGACACAAAGACTGGCTGGGATCTGCTGAAGACACCAGTGCTTTGAGAAAAGAGGGAAGACTTCAATTGGACCTGAAGGTAAAGGACAAAGGAGCAGAGCAGGTTTAGGAAGCCAGTTCAGCAAGAAGAAAATCTCATAATCTGGACGTGGTGAGAGGCAGAGTACCCTCATTTGTTGTGCATTTCCTTTTATTTGTCATGCTGATATGCTTGTTGATGAGGAAGCACCAGAAATATTTAACAAGAAATGTTAGACATCGTCTTTATCACCACCCTTTGAAATGGGTCAGTAGATTTCAGGATGTACAGGACACTGGGACCACACGTCCAATCAACCCCATGTATTTTCAGGCTGTTGCAGTTACTTGAGGTACAAGATAAGACAAAACCTGCTGTGATCAAGCCCTTGTTCTATGTAGGAGAGAGGAACAAGAAAGGACCTAGATGTGATGTAAGGTATCCATAATAGCTATGAAAAAGGAGACTAGGTGCAGGTGAGAAATTGAAGGCAGATAATCTTATATAAGGTGGTCAGCAAAGTGCCTTTCAAAAATGCCCCTGAGTATCAGGTGGGGACTGAACACAGAAAAGGGGTGAGCAAGAGAAATGATGGGAGAAGAGTATTTGAAACCCCCCAAAAATAAAAGCTTCAGAGGTGCTGAAGTAGAAAGGGTCATGTCTCTGACCTTGACCTCAGAGAAACAAACTGATGTGTAGACTAAGGCTGAGGCATGAAGAGACATGTTGAGGATTCAAAGCTTCATTTTTTCATCCCCAAAGACAGATACTAATAATAATGCTTTCTTTTCTTATTTCCTAGTCTCACTCTTCAACTTCTGGGGCCTGCACACCACAGCTCAAGTGACATTTGAGTCGATTGATGCTCTCGAGGGGACTAATGTGACTCTACGTATCCACCACAATGCTCGCTATGCAGCAAGCTTCATGTGGTTCAGGGGAGAAACCACTGACGTCCATAATAATATTGCATATCTTTCAGTAAACTCTGACAAACATGTAAGAGGTCCTCCAAATGGGCAAGGGATAGTAGAGGATGATGGGTCCTTGCTATTACAGAATGTCACCATGGAAGACTCAGGAATCTACACCGTACTGGTCCAACTTCAAGGCTGCCAACAAATTGTAGCATGTGGACAACTTACTGTATACCGTGAGTGATTGCTCTTTGACCTCTCAGTGTCAGGTGGGGTGAATTCAACTTCACACACAGGACTGATATACCCTGAACACTACCTCAATTCCCCTTGGCATTTTGATTCAGGGTGGGTTTTAGTGCTTAATGCAGAGTACACAGAGAACACAGACAAACTTTCTAAAACCTCAGTCCCTTTCTCAAATTTCAGCCTCCCAGACTTTCAGTGCATAGAGAAGGGTCAGTTTGATGGAAATACGTCAGCAGGGGGAGACCTGACTAATTTCAGCCTCCTGAGCACCTCCCTATTCACTTGATCAGGAGAATGACTCTGTTGTACTTCGTCAGAGCACAGTCTGAGAGGCCCCCTGAAATCTGTACACAGTTCAGCTCAGAAACCCCTCCCAAAAACCCTGTCCCAGGGATCTTTACTCCAAGAACCCTGGTGAGCAGGTACTAGGTTGAGTTTGGCTGCCTCAGAAGGACTGAGTGTGTAACTGTTTAATGGGTGCTCAACTCACAAGGCTCCTGAGGCAGTCACCAGTCAGGGCTCCTGACCAAGAAATGCATCTTGTCATAAATAGAATTTGGTCTATCATCATCTGAATTTTGTGTGAAGAGCAGAGTTATACAATGTGCTTGTAAATAGCTAACTATCTTGGGGATCTCGGGAAATTTCAGAAGAGGGTCTGCATCCCCTAAAAGAAACAGAAAAAAAGATGCTCCTGGAAGTTCCTCATTGACCTTGGATCAGCCAGGGGTTCTCTCATGTCGTCAATCAATAACTCATGCCACTTTTGAGCAGTTCTTCTATTTCAAGGTTAGGTCAGATCCTCTAAATATTTTACAGTCATTGCACTGACACCCTGGCAGCTAAATATTCATTGAGAACACACTGAGAAACATGGAGATACGGTCACTAAAGGAGAGTCACACTAACTGTGAGCAGGTGATCAGGGTCACTAGGTTCTGTTGGTAGCCACAGACTTAATTTCTCTACCTCTGGGGACTTATGAGGGAGTCTTAGGATTCCTAAACCAACAATGTCATTCAGATCCTTTTCTCTTAGATATATTCACACAGAGGAATGTATTTTGGTCTGGAAAGAAAAAAAATGGAGGCAATTTATTTTTACTCTAGAAAAACATTATCTTCTGTATCAATCAGAGTCACTGAGTTATTACCCAGGCATCCCTCTCAGGTGGCCCATCCTCAACTTCCTGCACTGGACTTGACATCAATCATATGTTTCCTGTTCTGGTTCACTCTCTCCCAGCAGATGTAAACAAAAGGACTTTTCTTTCTTATTGTCCACTCTACCCTTGAAACCAGCTCAGGAAGAATTTTTAACAAGCACTCAGTTGTTTTTGATGAATTAGGAAGAAATAAATGGCGATTGAATGAATGAATGAATGAGTGATCCATAATCTCTTCAGAGCTTGGAACCTAGATGCACATTCCTTGGAATCCTCAACATAGAGAAGAGTCTTTTGTGGACCCTGGAACTAAGACCATCATCTCAGATTCTTTTCTTTTCTCTAATAAAATAGGGATTGCTATTGCTCTTAGGTCCTGGAGTATTAATAATAATTTTCACAAACAGAAGAATTTTAAGTTTTTTTTTCCAATTTTTGTCTCATAGCCACTGAACACAAATTGTCCACAAGTGCCAGAATTTCAGCAAGTTCATTGTGCCCACTTGCTCTAAGGCACTGGTTTTGCATTTGTACAAGTGCTCACCTGCCCTCAGGAGAGAGAGAATGGATTTTATGCTCAAGGATAGAGCACAGGATTCTGCTGCCATTATCAGCTTCTGCCAGTCCTTTTTCCTCCCTGCTAAATCATTTCTTGTACTCTGCTCTATCATTCCTTTTCCCACAGGCTCTTTTCAGTCACATTCACCTGAAAAGACCTGACCTACCTCTTAGCCTATGGCCTGAGTAGACAACTTACCACTGGCTTGCTTCTGGTCTCTATGTGTTATTTCTGCTCAAATCCCACCCAGTGTCTAGGAGGTCCTGGGAAATAGAGTTTCATGGAAACACACCTCAGTTGGGCAATAGATGTCTGTGCAGCTGGAAGGAATGGCTTCTGGTCAGGCAGGCATTCAGTTGGTCAGTGAAGAACCAGGAGAATTGCAGTAGTCTCTCTGAATCCCTGTCTTATGTCTTTCCTTAACCAACACTGATACTTAACTGACAACTCAGATAATCTGCAGTTTCCCCCAGACATATAACTGGAGGACATTCATTCTCTGAGATCTCTGATTTTCAAAGATCTTTTTGTGATATGCAGACCTGCCTTGTTAGTTCTAAAACTTAAGTTGAATAAGGTGAGAGGTACAAACTGTGCTTGAAGAAGCTTTTTGAGATATCAAAAGTACCACACAGAACATTCTTTTTTCTCTTTTCTGCAGAGCAGAGTGAACCACAACCAGGATCATAAGCAATGAATCCAACCTTGAGAGATTTGATTTTCATTTTCGTACATAATAGTGGTTTTGAGCATGTTCTTCTGTAACTATGTGCCATTTGTATATATTCTTTGGAGAAATGTCTATTCAACTGTTTTGTTCCATTTTTAAATCAGATTATTTGGTTTTGTGGTTGTTGTTGAGTGTAGAGGTTTTTTGTGTATTCTAAAGATTAACTTTTTATTTTTGATATAATTTGCAAAATATTTTCTCACATTTCATGGGTCACTTTTCAACGTGTTATGTCCTTTTTAATGAAGAGACACTTTCATTTTGAGCATATCCAAATTGATTATTTTTTGGCCTGCCTTCTTAGTGTCACATTCATGAAATGATTGTCGAATTCAATATTATAACGCTTCTTTCAATAGTTTTATAAACATTTTAAAGGTTTAGGTCTAAGCTTTAGAATTTGATATAATTTGACTTAATTTTTGTTAGTTTCAGTATTAATATGATATCAACTTTTATATAATCATGACTTAACTGTGTGCAGTATCAGACAGGGTTCCACATCATTAATTTTCATGTGGATATTGCTATTCAACACCATTCATTGTAAAGACTGTATTTTCTCCATTGAAATCCTGTTGGGAACTGCCCTGACTGGTATCAGAAGCTGAAACCCCCGCCTAGCTAAGGCTAAGGGAAAGCCCTTGGAACTGTAAGCCAGTAAGGAGATAAAAGCTTATCTTCCTGGCAGGGATGCTGCTTCTGCTGCTTTATTCATGACTGAACCCCCAAAAGCTTGGTCGGTTAGCCAAAGACGGGTAAGATTCCCCACAGGGGGAACGACCTAAGACAGGCACGATCACTTTGGGAGGCCCCCCAAAAGAAGGACTTGGGGGGCTGCAGCAAAAGGGGGTGATGGACCCTCGCTCCTCGGCTTTGACATAGCCTGAGTTCTCAGCGTCTGGGGAAAAACCTTGTCTCCCAGTTGCCTTAGTTCTCTTGCTCCACCTAAGCCTGAAACAATGACAGGGTGGTGCAGCTCGGTACTGAGAAGTGCGGATTCCCCGGGGTGATCAGGCCTAAGAAAGAATATGTAAATTACTGTGAAAACTTCTTTGTTTAGAATGGTCTCAGTTGAATGAGAAGGGTCTTAGGAGGAAGTTATTTTGTTCCTCAGTCTTACAGCTCTTTGACCCCCAACTCAATAGACTGGCAGAGTTCTTTGTTTTCTATGGTTCCTTACTTCCCCCTAATGAGTACTGTACTTTACCTGAATTATTATGCAGAAGGAGCCTAATAAAAGCAGGTATGGATGGTAAATCAGCTCACTCCCCACTGGGGGGGTGGCCATTTTGTCCCTACTTCCCCACAGAAACTAGTCTGTCTCTGTGCATGTTGTTATTTCTCGCGTGTTTATCGTCGAGCCATCCACAGCATTCTGTGGTCACTGCTGGCTGGTGACCCACGCGCAACAAAATCCTGGCCTTTTCTCTTTTTAAAATTAGTTAATCTTTTCTTTTATTGTTTTCCATTTACCTCTGTCTGTATTTTTCTGCCACCACATTCCAGCATTCCAACCACCCACACATCCAACCCACTATGGTTCTCGCCTTTGACTTTGTCCATGGGGTCTTTATACATGTTCCTGGATGAACTTTTTCCCCTTCTTTCCCCCAGTATTCTTTTCCTGTCTCCTCTGTGGTTATGGTCAGTTTGTTATTTATTTCAGTGTCTCCGATTATATTTTTCCTGAGGTTATATGAGGACAGAGAGGAGTTGCAGCTCCTTCCTTCATAATGTCATCTGAACTTAGAAATTTGTCCACCAAATGCCTGGACCACCCTCTGTTGGCCTTTAACTTTTGCATAAGTCACTGTGGGTTGGAAGTAGCTGAGATCCCTGAGGAAGCAATGAGTCTGCATGTCTGCAGCCCATTCTCAATGACTCATTTTCTCTGTCTCTCCCCAGCTCTTGTGAGTATGCCCACCCTCCTAGCCAGCAACACCAGAGTCACAGAGAATAAGGATGCTGTGGTCTTGAACTGCCACACAAACGCTGACATCATCGAGTGGTTGTTCAATGGCACAAATCTGCAGTACACGAACAGAATGAAGCTGTCACTTGACCGCAGAAACCTCACCATAGACCCTGTCCAGAGACGGGATGCTGGCAATTACCAGTGCAAAGCCTCCAACCCCACAAATTCTGCTGAAAGTGCATACGTTGGTCTGGATGTGATATTTGAGTGATTCTCCTTCCCCCCTCTATTTTGTGAAACTCTAAATAAAGTACTTTTCACAACACTACAATGGACTTATTTTCAGGATGAGTACTTCTTAAAGATCAGCACTGAGTCAATAAACTAGGAAAGTGTGAGCTGACATTGTCATTTTGTTGACTTAAGGTCACATTTCAGAGCAAACCCACACTTTGGTTTGCTTTCATGTGTACCATGTCCACAGTGGAGGGTTCATTGTAACACTCTGTCCATAGAGGATGAGCAGTAGTTGTGTGATAACAAATGAGAGAATATAAACAGCTTAGAGAATCTGAGCTCTGTTTCTCGTCTGGGAACACATGTGCAGGGAACCTGTTGTCGACAATGGGATAGGACAAGAGGAAAACAATGTGAGGGACAACACTGATTTTTGTGTTTCTCTTTGATGTCTTTCAAAAGATTTTTAAAGTCTGTTGAGTATTCTTCCTTCTCTTCCAATATAATTATTTGCATGAATTCAGTACATTTCTGTTTGTTTTGTTAATAAGGTATATTTGGAAACTTTGGTAGTAAAGCCAAAGGTTTAGTTCAAATGTTCTAGTTCAGACTGATGCCCATGGAATTTGAAATGGCCTCATACTTTATATAGCTCAGCTTGACATCTTCAGATATTTGGTACCTCTTGCAGAAAAGACATTACCCAAAGTGAGCGAACTGGAGGTGAAATGTTTGGGTAAAGCTTTCTAAATTCAAGATGCTGGTAAATCTCCCATCATATTCATCATGGAAAACCCTCTTCAGTGCAAACTATGGGGTGAATGTCAGTTCCTCTGCACTTAGGTAACTAACTAATCACTCTAAATCAGGTGACATCAGCCATGTTGTAGGGTCAGGAACACCCTTCTCCCTTAGCGATTAATTTTGATGAATGGGAAAGTGACTGGAAAGATAAATATAATGCCTGAATGGAAATCTCCAGAAGCACAGCCTTCTGGGAGATCAGGTTATGGCTGTGTTCATGGAGTCTCAGTTATTTTGCACCTCTTTATAAATTGCAGGAACTGATGCAGATGCAAATTATGTCTGGGCTACAAGAGATGTAGTTGTGTTTCCCACCACTGTGCGGAAAGCAGTTTGGTTATGACCCAGAGGTCTTAAGGTTCCCTCAGAGTTGTTAAACTTCAGACAGGTTCTTCCTGATTGCAGGCCTCTGGTCTCCATATTTTACAGAATTCTGATTAGAAATGTACTTGAAATTCATAATTACAGGTTTTTTGGCACTTAGAGTACATATGAGTCTCCTTAAAATTACCTTGCTGGTGTTATGATTCACAAAGTATTTATCAAAGGAGACTGTGCCCATCTCAGAAAATTTAATCATTCTGGTGTCCCTGCTGCTCAATTTCTGTGGGACATACAAGCATAACTTGGGTGAAGATCTGTAAAAGCAGGATGTAATGAGACCTTGTATGAAGATTTTATGAAGAGTTTTACTTTTACTCTTTTTTTAAAATTCTGGGCTCAGTTTGTTTAAAATTATTTTAACTACTGACATGTTTGTGTTTAAACATTATCTTTCACCTTGCTTTTATTATTTTTCAGGTATAGTGTTCCCATTTTCCAATCACCACTCAACTCAGCCGACACATGCCTCATATTCCACCCTCAACTCTATCCCTCTTTGTCTTTCTCCATGTGTCCTTCATACATGTTCCTTGACAACCCTTCCTATCCCCCCCCCCATTATCCTTCTCTCCACTGCCCTCTGGTCAGTGTCAGTTTTCTCTTTATTTCAGTATTTCTAGTTATATAGTGCTCACTTGTTTGTTTTGTTGATCAGCTTCTAATTCTAGGTGATGTCATATGGTATTTGTCTTTCATGGAACAGTTTATTTCACGTAACATAATGCTTCCCAGTTCCATTAATGCTGTCATGAAGGGTAGGGGCTCCTTCTTCTGTCTGCTGTGTAGTATTCCATTCCTGGAGAAATTGTTGGTAGTTTCCCCTTATAAATTGTCCACCTCCTTGGTTAATCTTATTCCAAAGTATTCTAGTATTTCTGATGGTATTGTAAATGGAACTATTTTCTTAATTCAGTTTTGAGATATGTATTGTACATGCAAAGAAATGAAATGAGTCTGTTTTTCTCCTGCAACTGCACTGAATTTATTAGTTTTAACATGTTTTGGGGGTGGAGGATGAAATCTTTAATGTTTTCTACATGTAACATTAGGTTGTCTGTTAAAATAGATCAGATTCTTTTTCACTTTCCCATTTTGATGTCTTTATTTTATCTTTCTGGCCTATAGTTTCAGCCAAACTTCCAGTATAATGTTGAATAAGTGGGGAGACAAGCATTTTTTATATGGTTCATAATCATACTAACACTTTCAGTGTTTCTCCTTACAGTATTGTGGTACCTGTAGGCTTTCAAGCATGACATTTAACATATAGGGAGGTTTCCTTCCATTTCTACAGTCCTTGTCTTTTAACAAAATCATAACAACTTATCTCTAGAGATTTTACTTGATGGTGACATTCAGTTTGTAGGCCAAGAAAGTAAAGTCTCATAGAATTGAGATATGATTTACATGAAACTTCTCAAAATCCAACATTTTGAATATTGGGTTCATTCAGCATTCTTTCCTCATAAATTATGTAATGAGAGGTAAATGTGTTTTCAATTACAGTGAAGTTTCATTGGCCCCAGAGACATACAGGTGGTAAGCCTGCCCTCTTTGACATTTATGGAAGTTTAAATGAGAAGTCTGACTTGCACATTTTTGAAGTCTAAGAAACTTCTAGGAAAGAATCCATAAGAGCTTATGAGAAAAATATGTCATGTGATAATGTGGCTAGAGGATGACACATGGTCCAGGAAGTGGAATCCCATGCTGATACTAATGAGACGTACACAGGAACAAGTCAGGAGTCATCCTAGAGTAATCTGCCATCAGAGGGAAGTGGCAGTCCACTTTTTATACATTGTCACCTCAATGATGACACTGGTCATTCTGCACAGGTCAGGACCTAGCTCTGGTGAACTTTACAGAGCCTATTATACTAGGTGTGGCTGAGATCTCTGAGGAAGCAGCATGACCCTAGGTCCCAAGCCCACTCTGAAAACATCACATTATATGTTTCTCTATAGAGTCTATGAAAATAACCATCCTCCTAGGCACCAAAACTAAAGTCACAGAATACAAGGATGCCATGGTCATGACCTGCTACACAAATGTGATCTCCACACAGTGATTATTCAGTGGCATGAGTCTGCAGCTCAGGGAGAGAATTAATCTGTCCTGGTGTTACAGAAACAACCCCCACAGGGTCTTTTATTACTCTAGGTTCTTCCCACTACTGTATTCAGGACTGTGGCTCTCGATGCCTTAGTATTGTAAAAAGGACAAGAATTCTTTAATTAAAAGAAATACTGGTTTAGACTAATGGCAGAATTCTGCCATTAAGTCTCACTTTCTTCAGAAAACCAAAATAGACCCACAAACGTACTGTTCTGCTCTCTCTGCTTTGTCTAGTCAGGCCAGCCTCAGAGCATGCCAGTCAAAAATACTGCCTTCCAGAAGAAAACAAAACAAAACAAAAGTGAAGTCTGCAGCTCACTTCTCCTGGTTACTCCTGATAGTCCATACTTGCCTGGGCACGTCTCCCTCAGTTTTGTGGCAAAGATCTCCAGTTCGTAATCCTAAAGTATGTGGGATCTCCTCATGGCGAGATGTTGAGAGTCTTTTTCACTCCTATTTTTTCTTTAAGGTCCTACCAGGTCTTTCTATTTCCCCATTGTACATGGAATATGGCCTTTGTGTTTAGATCCTAGCCTGAGTTCGAAGCGTTGCTCTCCGACTGGCAGTGAGCACGGAAAGCTTCGGATGGCTCGTGGAAACACAAGAAACACATACACAGAGACAAGAAGTTTCTGTTGGGAAGTAAAAACGAAATGGCCACTCTCTCCAGAGGGGAGAGTCCCCATCTCTTCACCCAAGCAGGCTTTTATTCTTAAATACCAATTTCTTTGCAAATTACCAGAAGTTAGCTTTGAAAGGCGCTGGCAGATCTCCCGCTGGGAACCTAAGCCAGAGTTTTTGGTGTTTTACCATTTAAAGAGACTACAGGACTTCAAAACTTAGTTTCATTTCCTCCCTGTACATTCATATTTTAATTAAAGAGCATCCTCCAGCAAGCAGATCTCACAAGGGTTTTCATATTCTATGTCTCAGGCCTGATTACCCAGGGGGGTCCGCCATTTCTGAACTGGGCTGCACCACCCCTGCTATTTCTGCAAACCTGTGTAAGGCAGAGGAGACAAAGGCAGCCAGGAGACTTGGATTTCTCAGAAGGACTCAGGCTTTGACGAAGCCGATGGGGCATGGGTTGATGCCATCACCCCTTTTCATCCACAGCCCGAGTCTCTTCCCTTAGGTCATTCCCACATGATCGAGTCTGTCTTAGTGTCATTCTCTTCCCTAGAGAATTGTTACCCATCATTGACTGCCGATCATGCAGTAGAGAAGCCAGGCATTAGAACAGGCAGTGTTGATGCCAGGGAAATAAGTTTTGTCTCCTTAGTGGTTCCTGGTCCAGGGGTCTTTCACTCAGCCTATTTCCCGGGGTGTTACAGCTTCTTGAGACCAGGCAGGGCTGTCCCCAACATGGATCCTCCTCCATAACCTCATCTCCCACTACTTCCACAATTGGCTACACCTACTAACATTCCCATTCATTCTACTTTTCCAGGTGCCATTGTGAATCCCAACATGCTTGGCTTCATGATACACAAACTGCCCCTAAGCTGCTCTCACAGGCTCAGAAAGTAACTCTGGCTACATTGCATCATGGCTTAGAGTCATGCCCATCTCTCTGGCTCTGCCAAGGCAAAGGTTTTAATATTATTACAACACTGGACAAGTTGCCCTGTTACACTGGCACAACAGAATCTTTGTCATAGATTCTGTCAGATGAATAATGCTGAGAATTACCATTGTGACCGTTCCAAACATCAGTTTCTTCAAATT